CAAGAACAGATAAACAGGTTGACTGAATAATCTGCTTCCTACTGCTTAGAGAAAGGCACAATCTGTTTCTGAAGAAAAAGTACTTTAAATCTTAGCTTCTTAACCAGCTCATATATGTTTTTAAACGTCAAATCCATATAAATCCAAAATGCCTAAATATTTATATGCAGGAACAGGTTGATTGGAGAACCATCCAATGAGTGAACATGAAGTTAATCTGAAACATGCCTACGAGAGTTTAAAAACATGTATTTAGTTTTGCCCGTATTAAGCACAAGTTTTAAATCATCAAGGGATTCCTGCATTGCTATAAAATCTGACTGTAGTTTTGACACAGCCAGATCAACAGTCGGGACAATAGCATACATAATAGTATCATCACATATAGATGAAGTTTATAATTTTTTAACAGATTGACCAATGTTGTTTATATTAGTAGTGAAGAGAACAGGTCCCAAAATGAACCCCTGTGGTACACCTTTATGTACTTTAAGAAATTCAGACTTAACCCCGTCAATCACGAAGGCCTGAGTTCTGTCACTAAGATAATCATGAAACCATGAACAGGCGTCAGAGCTCAGGCCTATCCAGGCCAACTTATTCAATAAAATAGCATGATCAACAGTATCAAAAGCTTTTGACAGGTCCACAAACAAAGCAGCACATTTCATTTTAGTGTCTAAAGCATTGATAAGATCATTAACAACAAAATGTGGTTGCTGTAAATAGTGCTATGCCCAGGCCTAAACCCTGATTGGTTTACATTCAAAATACATTTCTCAGATAAAAAAAGAGCAAAGCCGTACATTTACCGAAGATTCTAGAATCTTAGCTAGACAAGGAAGACTTGAAATGGAGCGATAATTATCAAGACCACTACTATCCCGCCCTTATGGAGTGGCAGCACAACTTTTGAAATATTTCCTGATAATGTTAAATAGAAAATGTGGGTTATTGAGCCAACAATGATGGGCGCTGCACACTTAAGCAGACCATGATCTAATTGGTCGGCTCCTGGGGATTTCTTGTTGTCTATTGCTATCAAAACATCCAGGACGTATTTTTCTGTAAATAGCTTAAAAGAAAAACTTTCACTATAATTTCTCAATCATTCAGCAAGTTCCCCTACCAGCATCCAGCCCAGTATCATTGTGAATAGGCTTAGAAGTTTTTTTTTAAAGAGATAGCCCGCTGAAATAAAATGGTGATTACATTATTACATTTTTTCCATAATGAGGCCAGTGTCTGAATGAAGTTGTTGTGGCAGAGAGGATGAAGTAGAATCCTTCAGGGATTTGACAGTTTTCCAGAATTTATCCGGGTTTCCATTACAATCCGAAAGACCGGTTACATTAATAATCAGATGTAGCCTTTCTGATTTGTCTTACGCAATGATTCCTCAGTTGCTGAAAAGCTTGCCAGTCCGGGCCTAAACCTGTGTTCCAAGCATCATCTCTGTTACGAATTACTTCTGATAATTCCGGAATGTACCAGGCATTCGATCTACCTTTTAACCCTTAGTGTTTTGAAGGAAGCATGATTATCCACAATAGTATTGAAGACATCTGCAAAAAGGCTAAAAGCTAAATCAGGTTCAGGGATAGCTGAAATACAATCAATATCATTTAAATAAACAAAATCATGTAAAAAAAAGCCTGTTCACTGAAGTTTTTAAAGTTCCTCTTTGTGACGACACGAGGCTTAGATGTTTGGATTCTCACACGTCTAACACAAACAACTGGGCAACGGTCACTAATGACTTGGGTGAAGACACCAGTGTAAACGTATTTCACTGGTGTATTCGTTAATAAGATCAATCAGAGTCGACTTTGAAGGATTTTTAGGGTTGGGCCGTGTGGGCTTAGATCATTACACGTCTTTTAGATTGTCTGAAGGCTGCATTTCCCAATCATAATTTAGGTCACCCAGGATTATTATTATTATTATTATTATTACTGCTTTGCTTTATCTTGGCCAGGTCGCAGTTGTAAATGAGAACTTGTTCTCAACTGGTTTACCTGGTTAAATAAAGGTGAAATAAAAAAATAAAAATTATAACTTCTGATTTAGTAGAAGACGACAAACTAGTTTAACTCCTCGAGTCCACAGCCGAAGGAGGCCGGTGGACCCCTATAACAGTTATGGATACATTTTTACCCAGACAAATAGACAGACAGTAGCTCAAACTTTTTGGCAAGGGAAATTGATTTTAGTAAAGATAAAAAAAATCATTTTTTTTTTTATCAAAAATGGCCACTCCACCACCTTGTCTGTCAGCGCCGAACACACAACCCTCAATATTAACATCCCATGACATAACATCCCATTGAGCTCATAGCGTACCTGGGCGGAATGAGAGGTGCCTACCTGGGCGTAGTAAGAGCGTACCTGGTCGTAGCTGGTCTTGCAGGAAGTCACAGATGAGCTCAGCCTTCTTGGTGAGTTCCTGCTGCAGCAGTTCCTTGTCCTGTTTCAGGCTAGAGATGGTCTCTCCCATCTGATGACTACGGCTCCGCTCCACACTCAGCAATGCCCGCAGCCGCTCGATCTCACACAGCGCCGGGCCCACTGGTAACAAAACACAGGAAGGTTAGGGACAGGAACACTATACCTTTTCAATATGTACATAATAATAATAATAATAATAATTTTAACATGATATAATTTAACTTGTATAGCACTTTATTACAGAAATAATCTTAAAGTGCATTAAAAAAAGCTAAACAAACTAACAGTAAGAGATGGAGCTGGGATAGTGTGTCTGGATGTTGGAGATGGAGCTGGGATAGTGTGTCTGGATGTTGGAGATGGAGCTGGGGTATAGTGTGTCTGGATGTTGGAGAAGGAGCTGGGATAGTGTGTCTGGATGTTGGAGATGGAGCTGGGATAGTGTGTCTGGATGTTGGAGATGGGATAGTGTGTCTGGATGTTGGAGAAGGAGCTGGGATAGTGTGTCTGGATGTTGGAGAAGGAGCTGGGATAGTGTGTCTGGATGTTGGAGATGGAGTTGGGATAGTGTGTCTGGATGTTGGAGAAGGAGCTGGGATAGTGTGTCTGGATGTTGGAGATGGAGCTGGGATAGTGTGTCTGGATGTTGGAGATGGAGCTGGGATAGTGTGTCTGGATGTTGGAGATGGAGCTGGGATAGTGTGTCTGGATGTTGGAGAAGGAGCTGGGATAGTGTGTCTGGATGTTGGAGATGGAGCTGGGATAGTGTGTCTGGATGTTGGAGAAGGAGCTGGGATAGTGTGTCTGGATGTTGGAGAAGGAGCTGGGATAGTGTGTCTGGATGTTGGAGAAGGAGCTGGGATAGTGTGTCTGGATGTTGGAGATGGAGTTGGGGCAGACATGGTCATAGTCTGACAGTGTTATTGTGTTGCCTACAGACTTTGTTCAGAGAACAAACAGAGTACGGCCACTTTCAAAAGAATGTACGCAGAAAATGGCGCAGTGGTCTAAGGCACCATGCATAACTCCTGAGTGGCGCAGTGGTCTAAGGCACCATGCATAACTCCTGAGTGGCGCAGTGGTCTAAGGCACCATGCATAACTCCTGAGTGGCGCAGTGGTCTAAGGCACCATGCATGACGGCCAAATAGAAAGAAATACACAAGAGAACCTGGAACCTACCTGCTACTCAGAACAGGTGCAGTTAAAAATCTGTTGCAGTTTACTTAGTCATTTATCCATTATGAGGGGAGTTTTTTTCCACCAGCTTTAAAGCTTGATACAGTTAGCAGGCCTATATGTGTTTTAATAAATAACGTTTTTAAATAGCTATTAACTTTCTAGTACATAGCTAGTCTTCAACACTAATCACTAATACAAAACCGTGACAAATAATTCAGAATTGCTAAAAAGTTCAAGAGAAACATTTCAAACCCTTCCATGGCTGTGATCAAGGTTTAGTTGTCTTTTCTAAAATATCCATTCAATAATTTCTTGACACACCATTGCGGGGTATTGACCATTTATTTCAGTGCAACATACTGTCAACATTTCTCCTTCAGTCATTGGTCTAACATCGTTACAAACAACAAGAACTTAAGAAGTATTGCAGGAGAAATGGGAACTAAAAAGAACCCTGTGTTCCACCGGCGTGTTCCATTGGCGTGTTCCACCGGCGTGTTCCACCGGCGTGTTCCATTGGCGTGTTCCACCGGCGTGTTCCACCGGCGTGTTCCATTGGCGTGTTCCACCGGCGTGTTCCATTGGCGTGTCCCTCAAACCATGATTTTTCTCCTGACATGAGGTGTCTGAAATGGCTATCTAGTGCACTACTTGAGACCAGAGCCCTAGTCCCTATCTAGTGCACTACTTTAGACCAGAGCCCTAGTCCCTATCTAGTGCACTACTTTAGACCAGAGCCCTATTCCCTATATAGTGCACTACGTTTGACCAGAGCCCTAGTCCCTATCTAGTGCACTACTTTAGACCAGAGCCCTAGTCCCTATCTAGTGCACTACTTTAGACCAGAGCCCTATTCCCTATATAGTGCACTACGTTTGACCAGAGCCCTAGTCCCTATCTAGTGCACTACGTTTGACCAGAGCCCTAGTCCCTATCTAGTGCACTACCTTTGACCAGAGCCCTAGTCCCTATCTAGTGCACTACCTTTGACCAGAGCCCTAGTCCCTATCTAGTGCACTACCTTTGACCAGAGCCCTAGTCCCTATCTAGTGCACTACCTTTGACCAGAGCCCTAGTCCCTATCTAGTGCACTACGTTTGACCAGAGCCCTAGTCCCTATCTAGTGCACTACCTTTGACCAGAGCCCTAGTCCCTATCTAGTGCACTACTTTAGACCAGAGCCCTATTCCCTATCTAGTGCACTACTTTAGACCAGAGCCCTAGTCCCTATCTAGTGCACTACTTTAGACCAGAGCCCTATTCCCCATCTAGTGCACTACGTTTGACCAGAGCCCTAGTCCCTATCTAGTGCACTACGTTTGACCAGAGCCCTAGTCCCTATCTAGTGCACTACCTTTGACCAGAGCCCATAGGGAATAGGGTACCATTTGGAACACAGCCATGGTCTAATCTAATGTCTAACAACAAACAGGTAGACCGGTTCTAGAAGACATCAATGGTAGGGCCCTGTGTGAAGTCATCAGGACATGTAATAATGATTCTCCTCCATCTTTCTCCTCTGACACATCCTCAGCCTGCATTTATTGATGCATGCTTTCTTCAGTTTGGACGACTCCACCGATGTCCATCCATCCAGGGCAGAGCAGTGGAGGACGTACGCTGTAAAGCAGGCCATGATACAGTTAGTTATTAACATCCTGACATGTTGAGCTGTTGATATGATTCCACACACCACACATGCCTAGAGTAGAAACACAAGTAACTGTTTGAGTCCTGTGGCCAGCAACCTATTCCCTATCTAGTGCACTACTTTAGACCAGAGCCCTATTCCCTATCTAGTGCACTACATTAGACCAGAGCCCTATTCCCTATCTAGTGCACTACTTTAGACCAGAGCCCTATTCCCTATCTAGTGCACTACATTAGACCAGAGCCCTATTCCCTATGTAGTGCACTACTTTAGACCAGAGCCCTATTCCCTATCTAGTGCACTACATTAGACCAGAGCCCTATTCCCTATATAGTGCACTACTTTAGACCAGAGCCCTATTCCCTATATAGTGCACTACTTTAGACCAGAGCCCTATTCCCTATCTAGTGCACTACATTAGACCAGAGCCCTATTCCCTATGTAGTGCACTACTTTAGACCAGAGCCCTATTCCCTATCTAGTGCACTACATTAGACCAGAGCCCTATTCCCTATGTAGTGCACTACTTTAGACCAGAGCCCTATTCCCTATCTAGTGCACTACATTAGACCAGAGCCCTATTCCCTATATAGTGCACTACTTTAGACCAGAGCCCTATTCCCTATATAGTGCACTACTTTAGACCAGAGCCCTATTCCCTATGTAGTACACTACTTTAGACCAGAGTCCTATTCCCTATATAGTACACTATTTTTGACCAGAGCCCGAAACAATCTCCTACTCCTTCTCACCTATGATTGCATCCACCGTTCTGCGGTCAAGAATCTTCTTGCCATCGGCTACTTTTCCCCTCCTGCCGAAGGCCACCGCCCCTACGAGGTCTTCCTCGGTGAAAAAGTGTTCGAACAGGAGGTGGAAGAGTCTCATGCAGTTCCCTCTGGCCTCCTGGAACATGGCAGCCAACTGCAGGGAGGACAGGAGGACCCCTGAGCCGGGGTAGAGCTCCTGTTGACCCTGCAGCTGCTCCCTGTGACGGCCTCGCCAGCGCGTCGGCTCGGGCTGGGACTGGGGTTGAAGCTGCGGCTGGTGGGGTTGAAGCTGCGGCTGGTGGGGTTGAAGCTGCGGCTGGTGGGGTTGAAGCTGCGGCTGGTGGGGTTGAAGGTGCGGCTGGTGGGGTTGAAGCTGCGGCTGGTGGGGTTGAAGGTGCGGCTGGTGGGGTTGAAGCTGCGGCTGGTGGGGTTGAAGCTGCGGCTGGTGGGGTTGAAGCTGCGGCTGGTGGGGTTGAAGCTGCGGCTGGTGGGGTTGAAGCTGCGGCTGGTACTGGGGGTGGCTCTGGGGCTGGGGATAATGACCCTGTCTGGGGGCTCCAGCTCCATGGAACTCCCCCCTCTCTGTTCTCCTCCTCTCCCCCTCTCTTCTCCTCCCCCTCTCTGTTCTCCTCTCCTCCCCTCTCTTCTCCTCCCCCCTCTCTGTTCTCCTCTCCTCCCCTCTCTTCTCCTCCCCCCTCTCTGTTCTCCTCTCCTCCCCTCTCTCCGTTCTCCAATCCTCCCCTCTCTCAGTTTTCTTCTCACGGAAAGACAGAACCTGGTGGATGACTGTTTGAAGACTCTGTAGCTGGCCCAGATCTGTAGAGAACAATGGAGAGATTTACACAAAAACTAAACAAAAAGCCTAGGAGAAACCTTCAGCAAGTGTCATTTGAAAACTAGCTTAGTTAAAAAATTGTCTCACCTATACTAGCAACAAACTGTTCAACCCGCCTTCTCTCCTCTGTCGGTTCGCTGGTCAGGCAGTGACTTGAAGAGGTGGGCCAGAATAAGTCTGTAAAAAAAAAGGAGGAGAGGAATTAGATTAGGATTCGTTTTTTTTAAACAAATATTGTAATATTATGCCACTTTTTGGATGAGCCGACCAAATCCACATAGAAATATGAGTTATAGATCTGTCGTCCTCATTGAAAGCAGGTCTAAGAAGCGGTAGATCTGTTCTGTGTGCGGTATTTCTATGCTTCCTGTTCTTACGTTTTGGTTTTGTACACCAGCTTCAAACTACAATATGTTTAGTTATGGAAAATATATTTAAATGGTACAATGATTCTCCACACTATACTTGCTTGTTTTGTCACATTAACTGAAATTAGGCGAACTATTAGAATTTTAGCCACCAGGAAATGGCGGAGCGATTTCTGCATAGTGCAGCTTTAACTATATTCTTTATGAAACATAATGACAACACAGATTGGCTATACATTTTTTCATAACAGTTTATTTTACACAGTATTATTCACTGTACAAGTTTGAGGGGCATCACTGAACAATGTCTAATCACAGGTCCCCAACAGTCATTCTGATTCCCACGTCAAATTGCCTTTTGAGTGACTAAAATATCACCCATTATATTTGTTCGAAATTTGAGAAAGAAGTACTTTCTCTCACGGCTAACTACCAGGAAGTTTGAAAAGACAGACTGAGTGGGCGGGGAAGCTTACATTCATGAGCTCGCCTTGACTGACAGCTCTTTGAAACGCCTACGTCAAGCAACATGGGTGCAGTGAGCGGTGTTGCAGTAAATTCATCTCAAGCTAATTTGGTGATACACAAAGTAACTCAAACAACACTGAAATCAATGATGTCAAAAATGTTTTGTACATCTCCCGTTTTGCATGTCTCTTGCGACGCGGTTCACAGCAGCATTGACGATGTGTTGACATGACAACTGCAACTGAGTTTTGAACGACCCTTACCCCCCCCCCTTTTGTTCAATGCTGGCTGAATACCTAGCTAGCCAGATGAAAGGGTAAACGTAGAAGTATTTTTGCCATAGATGAATAGGGTTAACTTTTAATGATATTTGCTGACACTCTAGTCAGATTATGGACCCAGTAGAGTAGCCTTCTCTGATGTTGGTTACAAGCACCTACTTATTTAAATTAGGTAAGAGAATATCATGTTACCATTGGTGTATTCAAATGAGAGAGTTAGGGTGATGTCGCCCTATCCCCTTAATAATCCCGCCTCCTGAATCCAAGTGTTTGACACGTGGGAGGGGACCAGTAACTTTATGATCAAACTTTAGCGATGTAGAAGCAAGTCATTTTCTCATACTTTGATCTGGTTTCATCCAAATATCATCTAATTCGAAGAAAAACATAAATTTTTTGATTTTTCATGACCTTTAAGAACATTTAATTGGAAATGTACACACAAATAACTAACCATTTCTCTCAAAGTAAAAAACAGCTCACTCCATCTTCTTGAAGCCGTCTGGTGGACCTCCTGTAAAATGGGATTGAACACTTGTTCATTCACTCTTTCACATGAAGAAAACATAGGCTTCATCCCAAACGGCACCCTATTCCCTCTAGGCTCTGGGCAAAAGCAGCGCACTATATAGGGAATAAGGTACCATTTGGGGCGCAGTCATACAGTCTCCTTAGTTATAGTGTATAGTTATATAGTATATTATTATAGTATAGTATAGTCATACAGTCTGTATAGTTATATAGTTATACAGGCAGTCTAATTAAAATTAAATCAGATTTGATGGAACTAAACTCAGCAAAAAAAAGAAACGTCCCCTTTTCAGGACCCTGTCTTTCAAAGATAATTAGTACAAATCAAAATAACTTCATTGTAAAGGGTTTAAACACTGTCTCCCATGCTTGTTCAATTAACCATAACCAATTAATGAACATGCACCTGTGGAACGGTCGTTAAGACACTAACAGCTTACAGACGGTAGGCAATTAAGGTCACAGTTATGAAAACTTAGGACACTAAAGAGGCCTTTCTACTGACTCTGAAAAACAACAAAAGAAAGATGCTCAGGGTCCCTGCTCATCTGCGTGAACGTGCCTTAGGCATGCTGCAAGGAGGCATGAGGACTGCAGATGTGGCCAGGACAATAAATTGCAATATCCGTGCGTGCTGTGAGACGCCTAAGACAGCGCTACAGGGAGACAGGACGGACAGCTGATCGTCCTCACAGTGGCAGACCACGTGTAACAACACCTGCACAGGATCGGTACATCCGAACATCACACCTGCGGGACAGGTACAGGATGGCAACAACAACTGCCCGAGTTACACCAGGAACGCACAATCCCTCCATCAGTGCTCAGATTGTCCGCAATAGGCTGAGAGAGGCTGGACTGAGGGCTTGTAGGCCTGTTGTAAGGCAGGTCCTCACCAGACATCACCGGCAACAACGTCGCCTATGGGCACAAACCCACCGTCGCTGGACCAGACAGGACCGGCAAAAAGTGCTCTTCACTGACGAGTCGCAGTTTTGTCTCACCAGGGGTGATGGTCGGATTCGCGTTTATCGTTGAAGGAATGAACGTTGTACCTGTACTCTGGAGCGGGATCAATTTGGAGGTGGAGGGTCCGTCATGGTCTGGGGCGGTGTGTCACAGCATCATCGGACTGAGCTTGTTGTCATTGCAGGCAATCTCAACGCTGTGCGTTACAGGGAAGACATCCTCCTCCCTCATGTGGTACCCTTCTTGCAGGCTCATCCTGACATGACCCTCCAGCATGACAATACCACCAGCCATACTGCTTGTTCTGTGCGTGATTTCCTGCAAGACATGAATGTCAGTGTTCTGCCATGGCCAGCGAAGAGCCCGGATCTCAATCCCATTGAGCACGTCTGGGACCTGTTGGATCGGAGGGTGAGGGCTAGGGCCATTCCCCCCAGAAATGTCCGGGAACTTGCAGGTGCCTTGGTGGAAGAGTGGGGTAACATCTCACAGCAAGAACTGGCAAATCTGGTGCAGTCCATGAGGAGGAGATGCACTGCAGTACTTAATGCAGCTGGTGGCCACACCAGATACTGACTGTTACTTTTGATTTTGACCCCCCCTTTGTTCAGGGACACAGCTTTCAATTTCTGTTAGTCACATGTCTGTGGAACTTGTTCAGTTTATGTCTCAGTTGTTGAATCTTGTTATGTTCATACAAATATTTACACATGTTAAGTTCGCTGAAAATAAACGCAGTTGACAGTGAGAGGACGTTTCTTTTTTTTTTTGCTGAGTTTACATCACAAAATCAGCTAGAATTATATGTGATCACTCAACAATGGAAATGTTTGCAAAAACAAGTTAGCAAGTGTTTTATAACTCACCTTATATTGAGATTAGTGGTGCGCGGGTCAGCCGTTTCTTCACCCGCCCGCAATTGTTAATAACCCATCCGCAACCTCCCGACTATGTGATAAAGTTGAAATTTGAGGCCCGCACCCGACTCACTAACATAGAAAATGCGCTGTACAGTCAGAGATGGCAGAACGATTTTTTGACAGGCCTTTTCCTATGTTTCTGCTTATAATTTCCGACATGTTGGTTGACTATTTGTTAGTCGTTGTCTATAATTAGATACAGCTTCTCTTCTGTCATCACTTGTTGCCCCAAAATACTAAATAATCTCTTGCTCACCAGAATGTCATACAGTGCATTCGGAAAGTATTCAGACCCCTTCACTTGTCCCACATTCTGTTGCGTTATTCTAAAATGGATAAAATAAAATAAAATCCTCATCAAGTTATACTTTTTTTTTTACAAATGTATAAAAAATTAAAAACAGAAATACCTTATTTACATACAGTGAGGGAAGAAAGTATTTGATCCCCTGCTGATTTTGTACGTTTGCCCACTGACAAAGACATGATCAGTCTATAATTTTAATGGTAGGTTTATTTGAACAGTGAGAGACAGAATAACAACAACAAAATCCAGAAAAACACATGTCAAAAATTTTATAAATTGATTGGCATTTTAATGAGGGAAATAAGTATTTGACCCCTCTGCAAAACATGACATAGTACTTGGTGGCAAAACCCTTGTTGGCAATCACAGAGGTCAGACGTTTCTTGTAGTTGGCCACCAGGTTTGCACACATCTCAGGAGGGATTTTGTTCCACTCCTCTTTGCAGATCTTCTCCAAGTCATTAAGGTTTTGAGGCTGATGTTTGGCAACTCGAACCTTCAGCTCCCTCCACAGATTTTCTATGGGATTAAGGTCTGGAGACTGGCTAGGCCACTCCAGGACCATAATGTGCTTCTTCTTGAGCCACTCCTTTGTTGCCTTGGCCGTGTGTTTTGGGTCATTGTCATGCTGGAATACCCATCCACAACCCATTTTCAATGCCCTGGCTGAGGGAAGGAGGTTCTCACCCAAGATTTGAAAGTACATGGCCCCGTCCATCGTCCCTTTGATGCGGGGAAGTTGTTCTGTCCCCTTAGCAGAAAAACACCCCCAAAGCTTAATGTTTCCACCTCCATGTTTGACGGTGGGGATGGTGTTCTTTGGGTCCTAGGCAGCATTCCTCCTCCTTCAAACACAAGTTGAGTTGATGCCAAAGAGCTCCATTTTGGTCTCATCTGACCACAACATTTTCACCCAGTTCTCATCTGAATCATTCAGATGTTCATTGGCAAACTTCAGACGGGTCTGTATATGTGCTTTCTTGAGCAGGAGGACCTTGCAGGCGCTGGAGGATTTCAGTCCTTCACGGCGTAGTGTGTTACCTATTGTTTTCTTGGTGACTATGGTCCCAGCTGCCTTGAGATCATTGACAAGATCCTCCCGTGTAGTTCTGGGCCGATTCCTCCCCGTTCTCATGATCATTACAACTCCACGAGGTGAGATCTTGCATGGAGCCCCAGGCCGAGGGAGATTGACAGGTCTTCTGTGTTTCTTCCATTTGCGAATAATCGCACCAACTGTTGTCACCTTCTCACCAAGCTGCTTGGCGATGGTCTTGTAGCCCATTCCAGCCTTGTGTAGGTCTACAATCTTGTCCCTGACATCCTTGGAG